ATAACAAGACTTGCAGTTTTCTATAAACAGAGCGAGTTATGCTTTTACCCAGCATGGGCATATACAATTCCTGCTACTATTCTCAAGATTCCTCTTTCTCTATTAGAATCTGTCATTTGGGCATCTATGACCTATTATGTCATTGGTTTCAGCCCTGAGGCTGGAAGGTGAGTGCTACATGTAAATATCTTCTACTTTCTTGCTTCTATTCCTTCTACTAAATTTGTTTTGTTAGTTATATCACTATCTCCAGTAGGCTTCCGCTCAGCAGCTTGCACTTCGCTAATTCCAGTTGTATTTAAGGAATGATTTGAATAATTTCATGCATTTTCGTGACTATTCTGTCACTTACAGGTTCTTCCGGCAATTGCTTCTATTATTTGCCGTGCACATGACATCAATCTCCATGTTCCGTTTCTTGGCATCTGTCTGCCGGACTATTGTTGCTTCTACAGCTGCTGGTGGTTTATCAATCTTATTTGTCTTATGTTTCAGCGGATTCATAATACCAAGACGTAAGCATTCCTATTTCTTTGTTCTTCATTTTGATATGATGCTCATGTGAGGGTGAGTAGCAGAACTAAACTACCGGTTATTTGACAACAGCCTCAATGCCCATTTGGCTGAAATGGGGATTCTGGATTTCTCCGCTGACATATGGTGAGATAGGTCTTGCTGTAAATGAATTTCTTGCGCCAAGATGGCAAAAGGTGAGAGTCAATAGCTCAAATATTTTCTCTCTAATTATGCAATACTGAAAAGTATTCTCTAAGGCATATGTATAAGAAAATGAAAACAATATTGGTGGTTGTTTTTTCATCTTCTGTCCTGAAATCACGCTCCGAAAAAAGAAGAGATCATCCGTTTAAGATAATGATATAAGTGTTGTAGTTTGTCAGTTCTTTTTTGTTACTAAAAGACTGAAATTGTCTAGGGAAGGTTCTAGAAGTTCAATGACAGATATTCATGTCGGTAGTTATTTAGCCCAAATCTGTAACATGCAAAGCATAAATTGTCTCTTTGATTCCAGAAACACTTGAATAAGCAATGTTCATCATATACATAACGAATCACATCTTATAAAGCATTAGTACTTTTTTCCTTGACGAGAAACAGTAATCTAAAGGCTACCTTGGACTCAAGTGCTTAATGTTCTTTTGTATTCCTGCTATAACAATCCATTCAAGCCCTTCATAGGCACTCAGTAGCAATAACTGATTTTTCTCTCCAACTAGGGTACAACAGTTTCAACTATAGCTAACCTATAAAATGTGCCATAAAATTCTGCATGATGAGAATTACTCCAAATTGATAGCTTAGCAGTCTCATTAGATGTTTACCTCATTGATACATACATGTATTAACTTGAACCAATAGCTTTATCTGTCTTATCGCAGATTTTAAATTTAGTTGTCCATATCATATTCAATACTCAGTTCACATGCTTCATATTTAAACAGACGCTACCAACAAACACAAGTATAGGGAATGAAGTCCTTGAAAGCCGTGGGTTAAACTTTGATGGATATTTTTACTGGATATCAGTTTGTGCTCTGTTTGGCTTTACAATACTATTCAACATCGGTTTCACCTTGGCCTTAACTTTCTTAAAAGGTACGTTCATCTTTTTTGTACTTCAAAGAATCTGCACAGTACACTTTGTAGTTTACGTGCTGGTTTTCTTGAAAATGCGATGCAGCTCCTGGTTCTCGCGCCATTATATCAACGGATAAGTACTCCCAAATCGAAGGAAGTAGTGACTCTATTGATAAAGCTGATGCAGCAGAAAATTCCAAGGCCACAATGGATTCTCATGAAAGAGCAGGTTACCCTCTTATTCTATTGCACAAATAATTGGCTGAGAAATCTTGTTTCTTACCATCTTTCTCATCATTTTATAGTTGCTTCCTTGCTCTTCAAAAGATGGTTTCTTCTGTTGTTTTCCAGGAAGAATGGTTCTACCTTTTGAACCTCTATCACTCGTGTTTCAAGATGTTCAGTACTATGTTGACACTCCTGCGGTATCTTCTAAATCTATCTCATTTCGTATTTAGATCATTTTTGGATAACTAAGAGTTGTTGAAGCTGAGTTTCAGTGGCTGAGGTTGTGGTTTTATGTCCATGTCAGGCAATGACGGAGCTCGGTTTCACTCAAAAAAGACTCCAACTTCTTTCAGATATTACCGGCGCACTTAGACCTGGTATCCTTACAGCCCTTATGGGTGTCAGTGGTGCTGGAAAAACGACCCTCCTTGATGTTCTTGCTGGTAGAAAAACAACTGGTTATGTTGAAGGAGAAATAAAAGTTGGTGGGTATCCTAAAGTTCAAGAGACATTCGCTAGAGTTTCAGGTTACTGTGAGCAGACAGACATACATTCTCCTCAGATAACTGTAGAAGAATCAGTTATATTTTCTGCCTGGCTACGACTTCATCCTCAGATTGACTCCAAAACGAAATATGTACGAACTAATTAACATAGAGTTTGAATTACTATTTCTTTCATGAACACTACTCTTTCTGGCTATATCTATATTTGAACTGCTTTGGCGCATCTCCAGGAGTTTGTGAAAGAAGTCATTGAGACCATTGAGCTAGATGGAATAAAAGGCATGCTGGTTGGCATGCCGGGTGTTAGTGGGCTTTCAACTGAACAACGTAAACGGCTTACAATTGCTGTGGAGCTTGTTGCAAATCCCTCAATTATCTTCATGGATGAACCCACAACAGGGTTGGATGCAAGATCAGCTGCAATTGTCATGCGCGCTGTGAAAAATGTTGCTGATACAGGAAGAACAATAGTTTGCACCATCCACCAACCAAGCATTGACATATTTGAAGCATTTGATGAGGTAAGATGCATGTAAGGAGTAAATACTTAGTAATGCAGATTGAAGTGGAGTTTGAATGACTTTCCAGTATGCAAACACTGTGATTGCATTTAATGGTGCATGTACTTAATGGTCCATGGTTGGGTGGAGAATACTTTCCAATTTGTGCACTGAGAACAATCAACAAATGCCTGCTTGAACATGCAATTTCAAGGTTTTAAGGTCGATTATATATTCATAGGCTTCAGTCAGATTACTCACAGAACCTAATGTCATGTTGCGTGATATATAAGTAGCATTTTAGAATTCTTGGTTAGTATTTCTCAATTTATGTGTATCAGTGCCTGGGGAAGTTGTCCTGGAAGCCATTTAAACGGTGACTTATGAGACCTTCCGAATTACTATTTAATAATATCTAGTTCCTTACAAATGAATAGAAGAAGTGTCGTCACATGAAGGCTAAGTCATTTATCTCTGTTGTTTCCCACATTTAAGGATGATTAAACATAGACCTTACAGTATGTCTCTTGATTTCTTCTTCACGTTGCCGTGAAACTTGCAACCTCCATTTGTAGTAAAAGCAATGACATCTACTTAGAAATAGGATGATTAAACATAGACTTTACAATATTCTTTTTTTTTATAAGCGTGGTGCTATGGCCAACTTGCACGCATCTCGACTAATTCCATGGTATACTTGCTACCTCCCACCAGTAACATGTACCAGGTAACTCTGTTCACCAAGGCTTGGACAAATGAGAAGAAATCACCTAGTGTTTTTGCCTCTGCTGGTATTTGAACTGAGACCTCATGGTTCTCAACCCACTTTATTGACCACGAAGTCACGCTCTTGGGTGCTAGAAGTTACACTATGTATCTTGATTTCTCCTTCAAATTGCCGTGGAAATTTGCGATACATCTAATCAGAAATATCTTTCAGTTTGTGTAACTATGTATCCTTCATGGATATCATCAAAAAGTTATTTGTTTTAAATGTGCTCTTTTGCAGCTGATTCTATTGAAAACTGGTGGGCGCATGATCTACTGGGGACACCTCGGTCGAAATTCTTGTAAAATGATTGAATATTTTGAGGTGAACTAATTTCCCATTTTATTAATGTTGCAGCAAGCTAGTAATAAAAGCTTCTTTGCATAGTAGTTGACATTGCTGTTTGTTTTTCTCATTTGACAGGGTATCTCTTGTGTCCCAAAAATAAAGAACAACCACAACCCAGCAACATGGATGCTAGAGGTTACATCAACATCTAGCGAAGCTGATATTAGCATAGACTTTGCTGAAGTCTATAAAAATTCTGCTCTACACAAGTTAGTCATAGCTATTCACCTCATCTAGCATTAGTTCTATAATGTATCTTACACATTGTATCACCTAAAAGCACATTTTGCACATAACTAGTGCATGACTCCTCTTTGGTTTACACTTATTACAGAAATAACGAAGAGCTTGTAAAGAAGCTGAGTTTCCCACCAGCTGGTTCAAAAGATTTGCATTTCCCCACCCGGTTTTCACAGAATGGCTGGGGACAATTCAAGACTTGCTTTTGGAAACAATACTGGTCCTATTGGAGGAGTCCTTCATACAATTTAATGCGCTCTCTGCACATGCTTTTTGCTTCCCTTGTTTCTGGATTGCTCTTTTGGGATAAGGGAAAGAAACTGTAAGTCAAAATACTGTTAAACCAAAGCTTCAATTAACTTACCGACAACATGCTTCATTATACCGTGCGAATTAAAAACTTTATACATCCTCATATAAATTTCTTGGCCACTTCTAAGTAACATATTTATCCCAAAAGTGATGCTTAAAGTGATTGTCATGACACAGTTGAAAACGGAATTAGGTCGTCTGATCCAATATTTTCCGCTCAGATATCCTTTCCTGTACAGTTTGTTAACATTCAACATTTTGGCTTAATTTTATCTTTGTTGACATCACCCACACAGCTAAAACCGAACTCTGGAGTTTCATTTTTGGTTTGTGAAGGTTGATGCAGAACTGAAGTTCTGTTTAAATGATGTGACTATCTCTCTCCCATGATAATGGACTTGGTTACATCAACTAAAATAGAGTCACTTTATATATACATGTACATTGCATATATATGTATATAGACACACACACGTATATATGTTATCTTATACTTAAGCAGCTTGATTATTTTTCTTAGACTGTTCTTTTGTTTCTCTTCCTCTTTTTTGACAGAGATAACCAGCAGAGCGTCTTCAGTGTATTTGGTGCTATGTTCACTGCAGTAATCTTCTGTGGCATAAATAATTCATCTTCTGTTTTACCATATGTGACCACAGAGCGATCAGTCCTATACCGGGAAAGATTTGCTGGGATGTATGCATCATGGGCTTATGCATTAGCACAGGTATATATAAGGATTACAAAATTGGCATGTTGACTACTTGAAGTTACTGGGGATTCAGTAATGCCAAATCTTACACTTGTCTTCAACAGTTCACTGCTTCATATTTGAGTTGAGTACCATGATTTTGTAGGTGGCAATTGAAATTCCATATCTTTTAGCTCAAGCGCTTGCATTTACTGTCATAACATATCCGATGATTGGATATTATTGGTCGGCCTATAAGGTTTTCTGGTACTTCTATTCGATGTTTTGCACATTGTTGTACTTCACGTACTTGGGAATGATGCTTGTTTCAATGACGCCAAGCTTTCCAGTAGCTGCAATTCTTCAATCATCCTTTTACACAATGTTCAACCTCTTTGCTGGCTTCTTGATGCCAAAGGCCGTAAGTGGTTCAGAATTTAAGCCACTTTGAATGTAAAAATCAATGATAATTTTGTAATTACCTCAGTCAGTGTGTGACATTTCAATTTTTGTTTCTTTTCCCTACATTGCAGCAAATTCCCAAATGGTGGATCTGGTTCTATTATCTAACACCTACATCTTGGACGCTGAATGGGATGCTTACTTCACAATATGGAGATATAGAAAAAGAAATTACCGTGTTTCAAGAAAAGAAAACAGTAGCAGCCTTTCTTGGGGACTATTTTGGTTTTCACCACAATCAATTACCTATTGTAGCATTTGTTTTGATTGCATACCCCCTAGTTTTTGCTAGTCTATTTGCATTTTTCATTGGGAAGTTGAACTTCCAGAGGAGGTGATATTGCAACTTATTCATTGTATGTTTCAAATTAAATAGTTTCCATGTTACTTTTGTACATTAGACTGGGGGAAAATAAGGTTATGGTATATTCATAATACCAGGGAGAGAAGTATGGGATCTGATAAGATGCATGAATTTCTATTCTGTCTTTTCTAAGAGTAGATGAGAGTTTAAAGATTATATTAAAACGGTAAAAACTTAAGTGTTTGAAGCAATTCCATTCACAGATATTCAGAAATTGTGGTACTGTCAAATTACCTCAAGTTGAGAAGGTAAAGGCATTCTTGGTAGGAAGTAGAAGCATTCAAACCGCAACAAAGATTTTATCACTACCGTTAATAGTAAAAATACAGTTACACTACCATTAAATGCTAAGCATAAGCATCTAGATATCATACATGTATGCACTTACGTGAGTTGGGACAAATAAGGTCCAACCCCATATCAATTAATAGCCTGAAAATGAATCTGTAGCCTACGAACAATTATTTACAATCATCTCAACAGCTGAATTGCTCAGATAAATTACTGGGGAATAAAGTTCTTAACAAATTGCACAAAATCGAGCTATGAGCAAAATAACTTAGTGCTTTCACAAATAAGATAATGGACGAGACAGATGATGGATTGCGTAGAGGTGTTCAAACACGCAGCGGAAGACAATAACAATCCTAGATAGAACTTTTCGTCTTTAAAATTTATTTACATGTCAAAGATAGGATCTAAGACGTACCTGGTGAAGAGAGTATCATTTTAGAGTTTTCTTCGATAGTGCGAACACTCTATGCGTATCCACACCGAGACTGATCCTTGCTATCAACTTTTTGATAAATGAAACCCGCGAGCAAATTGAACGAATTATTGTGCTAAAGTTCTTTTCAAAAACTTTAGCTCATAGGTGAAAGACCAAGAAACTAAATTTTCTTGTCCAAGAGTATTTCTTGACTCTTTCAATATCTGTGGCAAACCTATTATATGTTGTAGTTCATTTCTTTCCTTCTTTTTTTTTGCCTTCTTCATATATGTACTGATATATATATATATATA